AGGGGTGCAATATCCACACTTTCTTTTCTGCGAAGCTCACTTTGTAACACTCCTGCTAGCGGTATTTATTTTATTTTATTTTGCGGAATAAACTTTTCATATATTCCTCAAATATTATGACAGTATAAAGAGCATCAGATATAACATAAAATGCATCTATATCCCTAGACCACCTAGCAACGACTACACACAGTAAAGCAAGCCGCAGTCGAGCCACCGTCATCGCCCCTTCCTTGCCGGAGCTAGACAATCCTTATTGTAATAGACAGACAAAAAGTCATCGTGCTAAGGCCCCAACGGATCAACACATCAGAAACAACAACCACCGTTGATGAAGATAAGCGTAGATCGGAAGGATCCAGCTTATAGACACATGAGCGCAACAAACGAAAACCAGATCCACACAGGTCCACCGAAGACAAACACCAACCGAATCCCGCGAGATGCCAGAGACACGTCTCCGTACATCCTCCGACGACACGAGATGCATCAGCAGGACTAGGGCTAGATGGGGAGAACCATATTCCATCTTCAGGGAGCCGTCGCTGCTTCGCCTTCCTAAGCATGACACAAACCCTAAACGGATTCAGACAAACACCTAAAATGAAGCATGAGCACTTCCATTGACAAAGTCCGGGATCCTGGCCCTGAGGCCACAAAAGATGAAGCAGATCGCCTGCAGGCGCTGGCGGAAGGCGAGAAAATCCGAAATGCCTGTGAGCACTTCTTTCTTTCTCTAGGAGAAAGAAAACATTGGTACTTATTTTTTACGAGTTTTTACATGTCAAAACTCGACGACTTTTCTCTTTCTTTTATAAGCATCATTACCTTGTTGGTTCTCCAAATACTCTCCTATTTAGCTGTAGTTTAATACAAATCTCTTTGTAAAATCGGCATCTAGTCCTTGAAAACGAGTTTTTACAAATGACCCGTGAACATAATGTTGTGAAATAGTATTCGCTCTTCTAGATGTTCTCTTGTTTTATTTCATTTTTACTTTAAAAATTTGTGCATTCAATTTTTAACACAGAGTTGTGCGCAAATGAAAAAAAAAAGCAAATCCCGTGCGGTTCTAGTTCAATAATGCAAACAAAATTACTTCATGAACTTTTCAGATGCTAGAATTTTGCATAAATATTCATTAATCAGCCTCCAGGCACTTTTTTGTGGCATTTATCTTTTCAAGCAACCTGGCGAGAACAAAAAGGGTGTGAAATCTTTGAACTTCTTTTGACTTGACTTTTCATAGAACTTACAAAATTGTTTATCTTAGTTGTTGGCTTGTTCTCATAACTAGGGGAATGAAAAATCCAACGCTTCTTTTTGAGAAAACGCACCATGTGATACTCATTCACTCTTCTAGAAATTCTACTATCTTTAACATGGGCTTCTTTGATTCACATCTAGTCCTTGAAAACGAGTTTTTACAACCCATCGATTTTTTTTACAAATGACCCGTGAAGATTATGTAGCTAAATAGTATTCACTCTTCTAGAAGTTCTGTTGTTTTATTGTTATTTCAAATTTGTGCATTTAGTTTTTGAACACAAAATTGTTTATAAATGGAAAAAATCCCTTGTAGTTCTAGATTAATAGTGTTAACAAAATTACTTTATGAACTTTTCAGATGCTAGATTTTTTTAATAAAAATCCAGTAATTAGCATCTAGGCACTTTTCTGTGATATTTATATTTTCAAGCTACATGGCGAGAACAAAAAAGGGTGTGAAATCTTTGAACTTCTTTTGACTTGACTTTTCATAGAACTTACAAAAATGTTTATCTTAGTTGCTGACTGGTTCTCATAACCAGGAGGATGGAAAATCCAATGCTTCTTTTTGAGAAAACGCACCATGTGATAATCTTTCATTCTTCTAGAAATTCTACTCTCTTTAACATGGGCCTCTTTGATTCGCAGGTTCCTCAAAACACATGAATGGGAAATATGGAATTGGACTATTGGAGTAGGATAACCTCTTAATTCTATTCGAATTAGAGAACCATAAATTCGGAAAGTGTTTGACAAGACAGAAAAAACAAAAGGATTTGTAGCAAGACATTTGAGTGGAAGGGAATTTTCCTCCAAAGCAGAGTGCAAAGAAATCCTTATGGAAATATCTCAACAATTCAAATTATGCATAGCGGACTACATAGAGAAAATTCCCAAGGATCTGAATCCTATGAATTCTTTTTGAATCAAAAGAGCCATATGAATATAACCAATGTGCATTTAGTCTACTATGGATCTCTGTGCCGCTGTTATATCTTATCAACAGATCGGAAGAATTATTCGCCAAAAAGAAAATCTCTTGAGTGTAGAAGATTGTCCAAGTTGTAACAAACCAACACATGTAAGCCTCGCCCTATCGCGCTGTCTTTAAGGTCAAATTGTGGTCTTGACAGCCAATATTTTTATATAAAAAGATAATATATTAATATCAAAAGTTGATACAAATTAAATCTTACTTTTGCAACAACAGGATATCCAGAGCCACTCAAGCAATCAAGATTGCACACATATTAGAAGGAAAAAGAACAACCTGAAAAGGTCGAGGCGAGACAAACAACCTGTTGCAACATATCGGTGCATGAACACCATCGCCATCAGATCCAACCATATGAATCAGATCATGGATTTTCACTCAGGGAAGAGAGTGCGAGCAGACTCAACGTTTGGTACAACCAATGAAGCCAGACCTAGGGTTTTCACCCCGAAAACTTGACGCCAGACCTAGGGTTCTCACTACAATTTTTTTTTTCAAAACGGGAGCAAAAATTGCCTCATCTATTAATTAAGTAGAAGAGAATTGCCCAGTTAATTACGGAAAACCGGGCAAAAACCGGAACAACAAAGGCTGAGCCCACTCGCATAGACCGAAACACACAGGGCAAAGCCCACCCTTCTTGACGACATGTCGATCTGCGGACAGACAACGCAACTCCGATTCTGACGGAGAACTCAGAAAAATGAAACTAGGCATGGCTGGCACCACGGAAGATCGCCGAAAGGACACCTGGAACCAGTCATCGTATACCACAGGGCCTCGCCGCCGCAGCTTCGACTCCACAGCAACAAACAAAACGAGGCAATATCGTGGACACGCGGAAGAAGAGCCGACTATCGCAACCATTGTCGCGTCACCGACATCGCTCCCACCATCATCGTTGCCACAGAAGTCTGGACGCCACAGTGATTTTCTCGGGGCCGCCGCCCCGACATCCACCGCTCCGTCGCGCCCAGCGCAATCAACCGGCACCACCTTCCGGGGCCGCCGCCCCGACGTACCACCGCTCCGCTCGAGCAGCAACGCCGCGCGACCCAGCTGCCCGCAGCCCACGCTGCTCAGGGCAACCGCTCGCAGACCACGAACGTTGCACCACATCCGGGGCCGCCGCCCCGACGCAAAGTCAGATCGCCCCCTCTGGAACGCGTCGACCGGACCGACAAGCCTGCCACCCAAGTGGCCCAAGATTGCCACCCAAGTGAAGGCCGAGTCACCGCCCCGCCCCATGGAGCCGCACCGCGCATCACTTCCCGAGGCCGCCGCCTCGGCGTTCATCAGCCGTCCGGGGCCGCTGCCCCGGCATCCACCAAACCCGACGTAGGAGAAAACCAAACGCACCAAGCACAAGCTAACTCTCCCAAGCAACACCCCCAAGAGGGAAACGACGAAGACGCCGCCGTCGCCCGCTCCGAAAAATCTGGAGCTTAGTTTTTCACCCGGAGAGCCTGAGCCCCACATAGAAGAAGATGAGTTCCACAATGACGCCTCCAAGGAGGGAAATGACGCCCGAAAGCGCCGCCGTCGACGGCACCGACAAAGTCGGGTCAAGGCTTTTGCCCGGAACACACACATCCCTATGGAGGCCCGCAGATCTGATCCACCCAGAAGCGTGGAGATCATTGGAGCCGTTCCTGTTGCGCCTTGCACTCTCCAACGCCGACCACCAAGCTTCACCGCGCACCACCCTCGGCGCACACGACACCATGGCCAAAACGCCATGGCTTCCAGCACGGGGCCGCCACCCCGGCTTCCTCCTCGCGTCACGCCCGTCTGACGAGCCCGCCTCCCGAGCTTCCCTGCCCGGCGCCTCCCGAGCCGAACCACCTCCCGCCCACGCGCCCGACTTGCGCCGCACACAACGCACGCACCGCGCGAGACGCCCGCCCGCATGCATCCGCGCCTCCCCTTGACGGCACCCCTGCTAGAGCGCCAGATCCCGCGCCCCCTCGGACCGCCCGTGCCGGAGTGAGCCCCCTGCCGCGCCGCGACACCCCTCGGACCGCCGGAGCCTCACCAGCCCGAGCCAGAGCCGCGCCCGCGATCCCGCCCAAGCTCGCCGCGCCCGCGCGCCAGATGCGCCCTCGCGCCTCGCAGAGAGATGCCCCGCCGCCACCCTCCCTGGAGCCAGACCGGGCTTCACCGGCGAACTCCTCAGGCGGCGGCGAGGTGGGGGGTGGAGGGAGGAGGGAAGGTGGCGGCGCCGGAGTGGTTCCCCCCGTGCCGCCAGGGAGAGGCGACGCGGGGGTCAGGCATAGAATACGAGAGAAACCACCGATGCAGTTTCCACTACAAAATTTGATGCCGCCACCAACTTGCCACAAAGATGTAAATCGTTCAATGATGGAATGCATGTGAACCAGGTAAACATGGACACCCACGGGAAACAAAGCACAACAAAGGCAAACGATAACCGTTCTCGACTGTTAATACTCCAGAGCCGGACCTGCCGGTTTTCAATACAGTAACATGTTCCAAACAAAACAACAGGCGGCAAACTGAGTCATGATGAAAGCACAGTTAGTTCACGCACTCATGGTGCCACATCCAAGGCAGGCACCGTCTAAACAAAACAAACAGCTCCGTCCTGGACGAGTACTCGCAGCGCACCGGCACTGCTTTCCACAATTTATGGATACATCTACTACGGATTTGGACACGGTACAAGGGTAGAGTAACGGCAGCGAACAATATAAGGCGCGCCTTCGCTCTAGCTTACTTACTCCATGGATCGGTCAGGCTTATTAGCTGCTGGCGGCTGACGACTGTCATCCTTTTGGCCCCCCGAAGACGACGACGAGCCGACCTTCCTGAAAACCCTGCCACCAAACAGGTCCTTCCCGAGCCTCCCCTTGAAGGGGAACTGCTTCTTGAAACGGTTCCGGAACAGCGAGCCGCTGCGCGCTGGCGCGAGCGCAGACTGATTTCTCTTCAGCACATGGTCGTTGCGAGAAGGGTTTGCGCTGCTGCTGCTACCACCCGCATCACCAGAAGAAAAGCGAATGCCATGATTCCTGCGAGCGGATCTGAGGGCGGCGTGAAGAGGCTCCGAGAATGATACACATCCTTCACTATCGGGAGCTCGCGTGCAAAGCGGGCAAGGTGGTTCATGGGCTTCACTCTTCGGAGTACTTTCCTCCAGGCAGTCTGCGTGGAAGACGTGTCGGCATGGGAGGACTGCTGCTACTGGCATATTGGTATTTCGAACTATCCGGTTTGAGCTCCATGGCGACTTCTGCCTGAGGAATCTCTCGCATAAGCCACATTTCAGGAAACTCGTTGAACTTGTTGGGGACCTTTGGGAGTCAATGCTGATATGGTCTGAAATGTCAATGGCATCACCATCATATCCAAAATCATAGCTGCTAGCACTGCTCCATCTGAATCCTTCCCTCCTAGAGCTTGTGTTCGGCTCAGGAGAAGCCTCCATCTTCCGAAGTTCACTCAGTGTGTCATGGAACTTGAGCTCAGGACTCGCCAAACTGCGCCTCCACACAGGAGAAGCCAGGCTGTCATCACTCGGTGTGGTACGCCCAGCATTACTAGCCTCAGCCACCCCCGAGGCTTCTGCTTCTGACACTGGATTGCGGAAGACTAGCGGGTAGACTGGTGTTGACATAAAGGATCGCCTTCCCAGATGATTGCGAGGTAGATGTGAAGCTGGTCGTTTACCAGAAGATGCCAGCTGACTTGTTTCTGAGAATGGGGATGCAGAACTGAAACTGCTCACAGCAGTTAAATGTCTCTGCAGCACACAATGAACAAAAAAAAATCAGCACTATGATACAGAGGACACGCCTATATGTTTATTTTGGTTAAAAGCATGCTAGCTGACAGAGAACTAGGGGGATTAAGTAAATAAAAATAAAATGGAGCTTGCCTCGCTGGATTGGAGATCGGAACTTTCAGGTTTCGGTCCTGGTCCCAAAGAGTAGAGAAATGGTTAATTAAACAGGAAGCCAACAAAGGAACACTAGCACTATAGTAATGACTGATCAGTAATCATGAACATGGATGAAAGAAAAATTCAGGTGTTGCAGGGGTAGCTGTTTCTAACGTGTACCACTGAGCGCTGATGCCCATGTATACGGTTATTTTTTTTTGCCAAAATTTCCAATGAAACCAATTGACAAAGTAAATGGTGCTGTATGAAAACTAATACAATTAGAAACCGAGTAACTAAATCTGCAAAACCAGCTCTCATAATGTGCCCCTGAATCACATCAAAATGTAATTCGTCAATGAACTTGTATTTCATCCAATTAGGGCATGTGTTTACCAAGTTCCTTACTATGCAATTCTTCAATAAACTTGTATTCATCCGAATATGGGTACAGATTTACTTTCTTCATGCCATACTCATCTCACCTTGACATGGGAATAATATTCTTTGGGTTCAGATCTTGTTGAAGACTTATGCTAGACAAACCAGACATAATACTTACTTAGCACGTTTGATACAGAAGACTTTGTACTGTTTAATGAAGCATTCCATGTATGAACGGGACAAAACACAATATCCCACAAAAACGTTAAGAACTTGGGAAGACATCAAGAGTGTAGCAGGATCTTTTCAGAAATAATTAGACCATCCAAATGGCGCTACATATAGGCAAATTACCATATGAACAGGCAGATGAATCAAGCACTTATAGACTGTTGAGACAGTGATTCACAAGCCATGTTTCAAGTACTATTTGCAAGGAAAGCCAGTCAATTCAGCAAATTTCTTTCGTACTAACACCAAAACAAGCCTATGTTACAACATAATGCAATGCTTCCAAATGTGTTTACGATGCAGCTACTATCATGTTCATTTTTTCAGTGACAGACTCCATTCATTATACTGTGAAGAGATGTGCATATTACACAAATAGAAACATGGCAAAACAGCATCCACGGTATGTAATCAGGAACAAGTATATATATACCTCCTCCAGGTGTAGAGAACTCGCCAAGATCAAATCTTTGCAGAGAGGGTGTCCAGCGTGGAGCCTGAAGGCTGTCAACAGGACTACCAAAATAAGAAAGTGCTCCATCAGATACAGAGTGGTGGTGATTCAGGTACTGGTCACTGCCAAATGCACTTCTACTTCCTTTACTATGTGATGATAGTGATGACACATAAGGTGGATGATCGTGTGGAGCATCAGGAGTCCTATGAGGCAAACCGTCTGATGAGTACATGCAGTCCCATCCCCGCGATGGAGGAGAGAAGCTCGAATTCATCCGCCAACGAGGCTCTGTAGGATCCATGGAACAGTCTCTGCTAGCAGGATTGGACTTTGTCCCATGTGGCCTAGCGGCCACGCAGCAAAGAGCGCCCGTCTTGACTAATTTGCCCAATCACGTGCAAATACTACTAGCTTATTTTTGCTCGCAAATAAAGCTTACTCGCAGCGTCGATAACTTGTTATTTTCAAGTCAAGAGACAGAGGGCTTCAAACAGTGTCACCTGTGGCATTTACAGAACAAGTTAGCAACGACTGAAATAGTTTTTTGTTCTAAATTCAAAGGCTATTATCTTGATCTACAAAAGGTCACTGACTTAAATAACAAGGACCTCATCAAACCCACAACATGTCTCTCGCATACAAATCAGCATATTCTGCACCAAGCAAACATTTTATGCGTAGTAAAGTTTGAGGTTCACCAGGCTGACTAGTTCTTTCTTTTGTAATGTTCCAATGACGTTTTCCTCCCCCCACCTTAAATATGCTTATGTTTCAAAGCCACGAGATTCAACACTACCTGCAATAGCACATAACAGCATGGTGTGCGTGTGCGCAACACCAACCTAGTTCTGAAAGCGGGGGCAGACTCGAGGTTCAGTTAAACCCTCAATTTCTTCTGAAAATAAGAGGCTAGTTCAGGGTAACAGGCACCAAAATACGTATACTTGAATATGAGCTCGGACAGTCCAATGGCGAATCAATCCAAACCCGGACAGATCTTGGCTCCACGCCAGTCCACAGTCCAGAGGACAGCGGAGGAGGGTTACGCCTACGGGCTATGCGACACCAGTTCTGGTATACGCCCTATCTGACCTCACCAAACGCCGGCAGCCCCCCATCCGTCTTCCCCAACCTCTAACCTAATACCTCCTGCTCATCCTTCCCCGCAGCCCCGTCAGCACCCCCAGCGGCTTCTCCGCCTAGCCGACACCCCGGCACCGCCACCCTCGGACTTTTAAACAGGAACTTCCCCTTTAGATTAGAATATTTCAGAACTTTTCTACTGTCTAATAGAAAAAAAGCATAAGACTTTCGACAGGAAACCCCGATTTTCAACGACGAACTGAAATGTTTCGATTCGATTCGTCTTTCAGCGGGACGCGTCGGGGGGTTCTCACCTGCATGCCATGAGTCTGAACTCCCGACCGAAGCGCCGGTCGGCGGCGACGCTTTAAGCCAGGGGGGAGACGAGGCGCGCGCGCG